GTTAAATTAATATGTACACATAAGAAAATTGGACTGGATTATTATCGTCATCGTCACTGATGTGCGCACATGGTATTTTTATTGTTTTATTTAATGACTCTCTTAGTAACTCATTCTGTATAGCCTCTAATGGCAGGATGATCAGCGCATATGAATTGCACAGGATGTAGGATGTAGCAATATTAGCCTAATTCAGGTACTAATTCCTGCATTTACCTGATGGAACTAAGGGAAATCACGACAGACTTCAGTCAGAATAGTTTAATGTCTCGGCCGGGATTCGAACCGGACCCGACATTAATGTGAGTCATAAGCGCTACTGCTTGTGCTCCGTACATTAGGGTTGCTGTCAATTTCGTGTCTTATTGTCTTCTCTGAGGAACTAATAATTCAGCCGCAAGTCCATTCAAATTTACGCCTAGTCTCTAAATAATTATTTACCCCCAAAAGGAAATTGGTTAAAAATTACTTTTCTCAAAAAATGACTTCGATATTGCATGCAAAATCATTTCATTGTAGGCCTACATTTTTTCCTTACGATTCCGAGGCTCTGTGATATCAGCCACATCGGTTTCTAAGCTATTCCGAAGTTTCCACATATAATACGGTTGTTATCTCCTGCCTAAATTTGCAATACTTGTCCTAACAGTTGAAAACATTTCAACAAGGCGAACCGCATTCATTTTAAAATTAATATCATTGTTTTAAGTAATTGTTATTTGGAGAGTATTTAACCTGGTAATGAAAATAAACTTTAGAGTAGCATGTGAGTCAAATGTTTAAATTCATACTCAGGTTTTGAGCATGAAATCACAGCATCATAAAGTTTAATACAATTCCGTACTAGTGAGATATTATCAAGCCCTGAGCGAGTTCCTATTGTTCGTGCCTTTACTGCTTCATTGTTTAGTCCCATCTAAGTTCAGGGATTTCTGTTTACACTTCGTTTTGTTACTGATAAATATATGGTGCTGAACTACTGCTTAATAAGACACGTATATGGTGCTGAACTACTGCTTAATAAGATACGTATATGGTGCTGAACTACTGCTTAATAAGATACGTATATGGTGCTGAACTACTGCTTAATAAGATACGTGTATGGTGCTGAACTACTGCTTAATAAGATACGTATATGGTGCTGAACTACTGCTTAATAACATACGTATAATGTCAAATCTAAAGGATGGTGTAATCAATGTTTATAAATATGGCAGGCAGCAGAATTCTAATAAAACATTGTAATAATGTCATAGTGTGTCTATTTAAAAGTATTTACAATTTTGAGTATTCGGGGAAAACAGATAACGGATTCGCGAAGAAATCAGTAAAAGAAAATTCAGAAATACTGTTGTTATTCCGTTCGAGAATTATTATCAACACGTCTACCTTATAAATGTTCGTTTTCGGATGCAAAACCCATTAATTTTACGGTTGTCCTATATGAACCTGTAATGTGGACTCTTTCTTTAAGGAAAGAACGTGGAATACGAATGTCTGAAAAGAAAGCTTTAAGGAAAACATTTGGATCCAGAGAAGATGTCACGACTAATGTGAGTCACCAAATACTGTTATGATAATGACATTTAGAAACTGCCATGGGCCAGGTAAGGGGTCAGGTTTGCGGGGAGGTGGACAATCTAGTTCTGAAGAAAATATGAAAATAATATTAAGGTACATCTCAGGGTGATGCATAAAACATTTTCACGATAACATTTAATGAAATGCTCAGATATTTGTGGCAATATTCTTCTGGGTTCAAGTATCACCGTGCTGGCTGCTTATGTTCCCGAGACTGTCATGGCGGTGGTCATATCTATTTGTGAAGTTCATCATCGAGGGTCTGTAGTATCGATTTTGATTTGAAAATATCATCGTTCCTTTAATGAAATTATCTGCAACATTAGACATTTGGATATTATGGGAAAATTTGGCCAAGAAAATGTTTTAATTATATTGAATTCTTTTGTTCAGTGAATTCTAGGTCAGAAATCCATTTATTCTCGTGTAGCCCCTCATATTCAAATAACAAGTTTATGGCCTGTCAATTGAAGCATTTGTTTGCTTTTAGTTTCTTGTTGAATTTTTCTCTCTCGTGAATTATATCTTTAGCTTTTGATCGGTGTATTTTAATACGATGTGAAGCCCCCATCACATATGTTTTGTCTCAGAAGATAGTTTGGCTGGGCTTCACGCTGTTTCTGACAACGCCTTAGTAAAGCACACGGTGTCACTGATTGAATTCAGCATATTGTAGCGGGCACCACTGTAAGGTTCAGACGAATGTTTGTACAAGATTAAAAAATGTTCGGAATATAATCATGGAGAAAACATTGTTTACATACCTCTGATATTCTTCCATTATTCTGTGTCCGGTAGGAATTTAAAAAGTGTTATCCCATTCGATGTGCCTTGTACACAACAATGATTTTCGTTCCCTTTGTCCAAATATTTTACTACAACAGTTACGTGCATTCCTGATCAATAATGCCGAACATTCCTGCGGCATTTATGTTGGGCTGAGAGAATTATTGTTTTAATATCTGAATTTCAATGGGTGACGATTAATATTCCGCACTGGCTATGCGTAAAGTGACTTTGGGGGCTGAAGTTAAAAGGTAGTCGGTTTCGAGTGTGGAAAAGTCTGAGTAACTCATATTTCGATAATGTCAGTATTTCGGAGGCATTATTTTAATTAAGAAAGTATGAAAATATTGCAACTACATCCAATTATTTAATAATTAAATTTTACAGCGCAACATTTTTCGGCCTTAGGTGACAATTTTCAGGGGCAAGCAATACTAAATGGAACTTTACAAAATTGAATCTTTGGCACTATGCTGACGATAGCATAAAAGGCATCTACCTCCGCCCGTCACCAAATCCAGAGTATCATTAAATTACGAGGCGTATCCACAAAATAAGTTCCGTTTGCAAATATTGCCACTGCAGCGCTGCGGCACTATGGTGCGCATGCATACAGAGTTTGTTGGTAAATGTAAATGTTTTAAGGCTTTATAATTAGATCTAATTTAAATTACTCTGGTATTTTAAAATATTTTATGTAAATTACGTACAATTTCCTTTATTGCAGGTTGGCCAGAAGATGGACAGTTGAGGTTGAAAAAGGGATCTGTAAGATTATTTAATCAAATAAAAATTGGCACACTTGGTATCAATTTCATATTTATCTTAACTCACACTTTTTTCATTTGAGGAAAGACTATCAAAAAATTATATATTTCAGTCACAACCAAATATTTTGTAGCACAGTTTAATTATAGCCCATACATGGAGTGTTTTTCTTGTTTTAGCAGATTTATACCTATTTTCCTGAGTTTAAATTTGATCAGCCATTAGGACAGTAAAAGTAAGTAAAACAAAAAATAAAGCTATCCCTGTACAGGCCGTGAAGGCCCATAGGGTTGTGAAACGTTGAGGGTCCCACATTATTTAGACAATCGGCTCACAGGTTGGTTGGCAGCCTTACGCGCCGGCCCCAGGAAAATTACTTAATCAATTCCTGGTACTCCTTTCTGTTAGATGCTGAGTAAACCCCAGGGCCTAGTGTGGCTGGAAGGATTGGGTTAACTGAAAAAATCCAATGACCTCATCGCGACTTGACCCCGCGACCTTCCGGCTTGTAGCGCAGCACGCTACCGCGTGCCCCCAGCCATTAGGATAGTTTATGCCGAAAGTATAAATAATTTCTCGATTAATTCCAGGAGTCATTTTTGAAAGTAATATAAAGTGTCCTCGTTATGATCTGGAAAAATCTATCCAAAAATTATTTTTTTTTGTCAAAATAGGGATTTTGAGGATAAGATGCTTACTTTTACATTGCTGGAAGCTTCATAAAATTAATGTGGTTGTTCTTATTAACCTCATCACTGCTATGAAACATTACACAAGCTTCCGGTTCGTTATTTGAGACTTCCTGCTGTTGAGTTCTCTGAATATGACATTCATACCCACACTACTTGAAGGAAATGTTAGGTTAGGTTGCCCTGTATCACAGAAGAAAAGGATTGCAATTTCTGATGATGATGGTGACGATTCAATTAAATTCAATTTAATTCCTTTTTTTAAGTGCTTGCTGTAACGTGAAAGCACTGGAAGTATACATAACAAAAGCTTGATTAAGGCTGGAACTAGAACTAAAACTATAACTAGACAAATGATTATGACGACGACGATGTTGATGATGTTGATGATGATGATGATGATGATAATAATAATAATAATAATAATACAAACCGATGCAAAATTATTGAATTGGGTAACTACATAAGCCAGACATCTTAAAGACATAATGCGTCACTTTATTTTAGATTTTTAATTCAATCTGACATTATATGTGCAATATATATGGATAAGAAATGTCGACTTATGAGTAAAATTAAAATATTAAATTGCAGAACAAGCTATGAGCCTAAACTTCATGCCGCAATATCCATATACAAAGAAGTGTTCCCGAAACTTGCTTGCTGTGGAGCCATTTTTTTATGAGAGAACGGACGCATCACAGAAAAATAAATTTAATAAAATCAGAAGTGACAGAATTCGTTTATGTTACTCCAACTTTAAAAACAGTTTCATTTATGTGAATTAACTGGTATGATGAGAAATTTTCTGCGACTTGTTTGGTTTGAGGATCATAATTTGAGTAATTTCTTTGGGTTCGCTTTTTTGAACAACTACTCTGCAGGGAATTTATTAAATGCAGCTTAGAAGCGGCAGTGCTGAGTCAACTTATTACACACTTAAAGAAAATTACTGGCTCTCTTAATGGTATAAAATGTCTGCAACATTGAAGTTTACCATCGAAGAAGGTATCCGAGGATCCGCCGGAAACCCTTCGAGGAGCCCTTGGGATCGAGGGAGCACGGTTTGCGGATCACTGATCTAGACAAACATTAAATGAATATTTGTGTGGAATGAAGGGAGGTCGTGTTAGCAATCCATTCTGTCCAGAACTTGTCAAAGGTTTGAGTACTTACTGTTCTGTCTACAGGCCGGTGGATGTCCGGACCACGTGCCATCCGCCCTGCACGTCCGTTCCCTGAGGCCCACCAAGTGGAAACCCGGGTCGCAGCTGTAGGTGGCGCGGTCTCCGAAGAGGCGACCAGACAAGGACAAGGATCCTAGTGCCGGCCTCGTCAGCTCCTTGCACTCCCGCTCTGCACACACATCAAACTGCTTCAGTTCACTTCGAATGGCGTGTCAACTGTGGCATTACAGCGCGTTGCATGAGATTGGAAGTCATAGAACGATACGAAACGAGGTATTTCGAATGAAGTAGTCGTGGTATACATCCAGGTACTATCCCAACATCGTCTAGAATTGTGGGGTACAGTACAATTGGCAAGCCGGTCAAGGTTCGGACCCGACGCCTCCCGAACACAAGAAAAGAAGAATATTCTTTCACGCACAATATATTCAGCCCTTAATGAAATTATTTTCACTTTTATTTGTCCTCCTTACATCATGCTCCGGCCTCAAAAGGCCATCATTAGGTGTTTCTTTTCTACGCCAAAATTGTCGCACTGCATAAAATGTAAAACAAAATGTTCAAGGAGGAGAAATAGAAGTGAAAATATTTGAATTGAGGACTAATTAAACTATTACGGCTAAAGAAACGATCAAATAACGTGTTTAAATACTGAATATGATAGAAAATTTTAATGATTAAAATGGTAATAAGCCAATTTTATGTTTTTATGTAAGTTCCAAATGTGGGAAATAGATATAGTTTTAGTGATCATTGTTGATATGAACACATACGAGTATGAACGTAAAAATACGATGTTTATACATATCGGGTGTCCGGATGAAAAGTATCCAAAATAAAAAAAAAATATATCTCGGAAAGTAATTATCATACACGTATCCGGTTCATGTCATCGGAAAGGAAAACCCTGTAAGTTTTCTTTCTATGCTCGGCTTATGCGCATGCGCCGCTACATTTCTGCCATAAAGTTAGGAATCACTTGGACAGAGTGGTGGCTGGAAGATAGATCGGCAGAATTGGATCAATCGCTTGGCCTCCTAGGTCGCCAGAATTAACCCCACTGAATTATTTCTTGTGTGGTTATGTGAAGAACATTGTCTACTAGGTTAAGATAAACTACCTGTGACTATGCTAACACCAAACATGCTGCATCGTCTGGATATTTGTCGTGCCACCAAAGGAGCCCACGTTGAAATTTATTGAGATAGTTATGTACTCAGAAAAAACTTTGACACTTTCCTTCTGTAGTGGAACCTCGGGGAGGCCGATCGCCACCTGTACCATGGTACATACGCGGGGCAACTCAACACTACTGCATTTCAGCACAATGTTGCATTGATGTATCATTTTACGCAATCACTTCCGTCTATAATGAAAATTTTGTTTACAATTATTACTAATTTAAAATAATATTAACATTTAAATTAAACTATTATGTATTTCGGCCTTATATGACCATCCTCAAGCAAATTTTCGCCTGTTCAAATTGCCACATTGCACTACTTCTTAAGTTAAAATATTCCAGTGTTCTTCCACTTTTGTTTTTCACTCATTAAAATACATTTGCTTGAGAACATCACTCTTTGTCTTTTCTTGCGCTACCTTCTTGAGACTTCCATGTTTTTTGTGTTGTATTCTTTAGCCCTATGTATGTATGTAGGTGTGATGTTGATATTGTTGTTATTTTTATGTGTCTTATTATTTTGTATGTTCCCATGCAATTGCTCTAGTCAAGTGTCTATCACTTTATTATTATGGTTGAAGCAGTTTTATGGTGCAATTATTTGGATTTTATGCAGTCAGGATTGGCTGTGTAAAATCTTAAATTGAATTATGCTGAAGAGTACTAGCTTCTGGAATGTGGTCCGTGTGTTGTTTTAAAGTTGGTTCTTTAACGACGTCGTCATTTGTACAGCGTCGATAACAGGGAGATTAATAATTGTGGAGCAGTTGGTGGAACGAAAACTGGCAGGGGAAATTGAAGTACTCGGAGAAACCGCCCCCGTGCCACTTTGTCTACCATAAATTCCACATCACCTGTAACCGAACCCGGCCCGTCGAGGTGAGAAGGACGACGTGTAGTCTGGTAATGACTTGTGAGTTCTGATGTAGCCAGACAACATATTTTTAGTTCCCACCTTGCCATGAGACCACCGCTGAGAGTACATAATCACATTCTAGGTCTGTAGGCTGAGTGCTTCATATCCGACCCGGAATTTGAATGATCACAGAGTAAGTCAGTTCTGTATTGCTTTGTGATAGACAGAATCTTTGCAGACCAGTGTATCTCGCTTGCCAGACTTCTGCCCCTTCTCTCGTAACTTATTTTTTTCCTTAGCGCTACAGGCCAAGTTTGGACCTTGGCTTACCTCCATGAAACTCTCCGTTTCACTTTGGTTTACTAGATCTAAGACATTCAGTGCCGGTCACGGTAGCCGAGCGGTCTAAGGCATGCACTGTCTTCGCTCGCTCGGAAGCCGGGATCGTGGGTTTGAATCCCATTCAGGGCATAGATGTTTGTGTGCGTTTTTCTGTGTTTGTCTACAGGTAGAGGCCTTGCGACGAGCTGATCACTCGCCCTAGGAGTCCTACCGTATGTGTAAGATCTAGAAAAACCGAAGTGAACCGAGTTCATGGAGGTAGGCCTAGGAGAAAAAAAAAGACATTCAGTAGGACTCCTTGGGCGGGTGATCAGCTCTTCGCAAGGCCTCTACCTATACACAAACACAGAAAAACACTGCTGTTCGCGCACGCACACACACACACACACACGCACAAACACTAAACATCCATGTCCTGAGTGGGATTCGAACCCACGGTCCTGGATTCCGAGCGAGCGAAGGCAGTGCTGCCGTGACCAGCTTTTGTAACTTATTAATTCTTGTAATTAATTACAGAATGAACACAATTGTGCACATTGACTGGCACCTGCTATATTAACAGAACAATAAATAAGCAGATAAGAATCAATATGTTTCACATTGTGTCCAGAGGTGATGCGTATATACGTGAGAATTCTGTTGCCATTCTTATGTACCTTGCACAGTTTAGTCTAGACAGTAGAGAGTGAGGGCGGTTGAAGCTGACAATTCGTACTTTCTACCGAGAGGTATTAAAATCGTGTTTGCATCTGGCATGGAGCCAGGTGCTCCACCGCATTGCCCTCCGTATTGTTCCTGCCTTCAACGGAGTTCAGACAGTGTGGCTTAGCTGCAGCGATCTCAGTTATTCTACCGGACCAATCGGAGCGCATCTTTCTTTGAAGATGGAAAGATAATTTGATTCTGCCTTTCTCTTATTTCTCTTTCTCCTTTAGCTTAAGTTTTAACTTGAAAACTGGTTTGGAATCTTCCGAATGCAATTAGTGTGTAATATTATCTCGGTAACTTGCGTGACCGCCTTGCGACGAGCTGATCACTCGCCCAAGGAGCCCTACCGAATGTGAAAGATCTAGAAAAACCGAAGTGAAGCGAGAAGTTCATGGAGGTATGCCTAGGCCCACTGGGGCTGTAGTGCCAAAAAAAAAAAAAAAACCTGCGTGACCAGACGAGGTAACGAACTCAATGTAACAGAGTCTTTTTCGAGAAGCTCAAAGCCGCTCAAGGGGTCAAGAAATTCCCCCCCTTCTGGTGAACCCTTGCACACAAAAACTGCCATTAGAGTCTGCCCTGATACACTTATTGCATATATTGCCTCAGGCCGAAACGCTTTGTGGGAACTGCCCACATTCAAGCAAGTGTGACAACGCAAGCGTCATTGCTTAGCAACAACGAGTAAACAGCGGTTGCTAGGGAACTTGCAAACACGGTGTCCAGCAACAGCAGTACCTATTACGTAATCGTTTTCTATATGTCCGACTCTAGGTTATATAAGAAGATACATTGAGTGGAAGTTACAGTTACAGTTACAGTTCTAGATTCTACAGTTCTACAATTCTAGTTCAGTCTGTTCATTATTGTTATTAATATTCTTCAATTCTTCAAACGCAAGTTCGTCTGTGTATACTGTGCAACTGTAATAAATACTATAGGACAGTTCAACTAGTGGTTGTCTCTTCATATGAGATTCTATTTCAAACTAAATTTAAAGCAACTTGAACTTTTCTAAAATACAAATTAACTGTGCTGTCATTTACTCTCAATCCTCAAGCCTTTTGAACACACGGATTGTACTGCCTATTAGCCATCACCCATTCAAATTTGTACCTCTTACTACTCTGTACACAAATAAGCCTCCCAAGTAGTACCTTTCCATCAGACTGACTATAACTTTGTTTTTGCATTTTCCACTCTCCCCGTGAGTGTCAGGTGCCCAACTTATCTTTTGGATAATATATACGTTATATTGGTACATCTACTAAACAGGTCCCACATGAAGAAAACAGCCAAATATTCGTCCCTGGGTGAGACTAATTTTTTTTAATTCGCTTAGTGGGGGCTGGAGTCTAACTGGGTCCATTCCGTACGGCGGCCACTGATTGGCCTATTGTGCTTGCCCCGGGTGATTATGATGATGGAGAATTTGATAGAATGAAGATTTGAATGGGAAACCGAAGTACTAGGAGAAAACCCGCCCCAGCGCCACTTTGTTCACCACAAATCCCACTTGTCCAGACCCGGGATCGAACCCGGGCCTCCGTGGTGGGAAGCCGGCGACTAACCGCTTGAGCTATGGCGAGGCCTAGCTCATACCTTACTTTTCGAGCAAGACACAAATATAAAGCGGTGAAATGGATTAAAGGAACTCATGTTCCTATCCATAGTAAAAGCTATAGGGCTACTGAAAGAGAACATTCGGACCACAACAGTTAATTATATTGAGAACTTATGGAGACTGCTTTAACAAAATAACACTCAATCTTTGTTCGAATTTGGCCATGCCATAGCTCAAGCGCTTAGTCGCTGGCTTCCCACGGCGGCGGCCCGGGTTCGATCTCGGGTCTGGTCAAGTGGGATTTGTGGTGGACATAGTGGCGCTGGGGCGGGTTTTCTCCGAGTACTTCGGCTTCCTCTGCCAATCTTCAGTCCACTAAATTCTTCATCATCATAATCACCAGGGGCAGGCTACAATAACCCAATCAGTGACTACCGTGCCGAGTGAACCCAGTTGGATTCCACCCCCCACTAAGGGAATTGCTCGAATTTCGAAGAAAGAAACACATCCAAAGTC